GGGAAGAAAGAACTTGTATGGACAATAAATATTTCTTCACCTCTTAAGAAGTTGGCAGTGAAACTGAACAAGTGAAAGGCAATACCATCTATCATCCTCAGAATAAAAATGAAATTGACTGCAGAGTAAATACTTAAGTACAAGTTCAGCTCCTAAACCAGCAACTGATAAAATCTCAGTTGGATTTTTTTTTCAACTTTTAACTTTTTATGGTATACAATATGTGAAAGTCAGAATAAATCATCCATTCATAGCTCTTATAAGTCAGGAATTGACTTGGTGCAAAAACTGTGAGAAATGATAACTTCTACTAAAGTGAGGACATTCAATGGGCAAAGTAAAATCCATAAATAAATATTATTTTTGGAAATAATGCTAAAAGGCACCTCCTCAGATCTCTTATCCAGATTGTGTGCTATGCCATATCTTAGCTTTCCAAAAATCAAACTCTTCCCCAGAAACATAGAGACTTGTCATTTGTCATCTTCAGTTATGGCCCCCAAAGTCATAATTATACATTGGCTGAGATTGTGGGTCTTTCAGATGTGTTTCTGGATCTCATAGCCCTGTTATGTTAACATAAAGTTAACCTAAATATTTAGTTTTTTTCTTTATCTTAACCCAATTAGAAACCTATCTTTTATGTCCCTACCTCAAGGTTCTGTGAAATCCCTATCCAATTTGATTATGAGACTGGAGGAAATATGTGATTGACTAGACATAGTTAGGTTGCATCACCTGAGAGTTGTTTTTTGTAGATTTGAGTGATTGTAACCCCTTGCGGATACTTGTAAAATTTGAAAAGCTGAACTGGGGTTTGGATGAGAACAGAGGTCAGTAATATCGGATAGTCTTGGTTATATGTATGGTCATATGTTCTTCATGAAGTATACACTGTCCACTGTAGCATTGTCCACTGTAGCACTGTCCTCCTGTCGTTCATCAATTTGCTCAAGCGGGCACTAGTAACGTCTCCACTGTGAGACTTGTTACTGTTTTTGGCATATGGAATACACCACGAGGAGTTTGCCAGGCTCTGCTTTGAGGGCAGGATACTCTCAGTAGCTTTCCAGGCTCTGCAAGAGGGACAGAGGAATCGAACCTAGGTCAGTCATATGCAAGCCACATGGGTCCTACCCGCTATTCATGCTAGGCAATTGTCATGTCATCTGTCATCTACCCTCTAACGATTTTTTTGGTTTAGAGGCCACAAACACTGGTGCTCAGGGCTTACTCCTGCCTTTGTGCTCAGGGGTCACTCCTGGTGGGGTTGGGGTACCATATAGAGTGTCATGTGTAGAAGACAGGCTGGATGTGTGAAAGGCAAATCGCCCTTCTTGCTGTACTATCACTCCGGTTTCTATCTTCTAACATTTTTATTACCCACATAAAAACTCAGTAATCCGTCCAGTCTTATCTCATGGGTAGGTTGGACCTGTTAAAAGAACCCATCATACCCCTAAGAACTAGACTGAAATATGTAAGACTTAAAAGGCCATATTAATTGTTCTTAATTTTCTTTTAGTCAATGTGATTTACAATTTTACAATATTGTAAGTGGTAGAGTTTCATCCATACAATATTCCAATACCACACCCCCCCATCAGGTGTCCATTTGTCTTCACACGCCCCCGCCTCTATCTTACCAAGTTTCTCCAACATGGTGAGCTCTGTTTTGTAGACCACTTCTTTGATTCCCTTACTTTTGGTCATTTGTTACCTCTATGTCCCATGCATGAGAAAGATCATTCTGTTTTTTTTTTTTTTGCTTTTTGGGTCACACTTGGTAATGCACAGGGGTTCCTCCTGGCTCTGCACTCAGGAGTTACTCCTGGCGGTGCTCAGGAGACCATATGGGATGCTGGGAATTGAACCCGGGTCGGCCGCGTGCAAGGCAAACACCCTACCCACTGTGTTATCTCTCCAGCCCCGATTCTGTATTTCTGCCTCTCCTTCTGGCTGACTTCACTCAGCATGGACGCTCTCCTCTGTGAAGGACAGGATGTGTGTCTGGGAAATGAATACAATAGAAAGTTATATAGTGGAGAACGTGAACAAACTGGAGCTACTATTAGAAACATAACATTCTGTAAAAGAGAAAATAGAGCACTTTTGAGAAGATTGAAACAAGTGAAACTGGTGATCCATTGTGTGTGGTAAATTCGAAGATGATTGTTGGAGCTCCTGTGACTAAGGCTGTAGCTTGACCACACACTATGAGATAAGTGGGAAGTGGACTTTGGCAGCTCTGTAATGTAGGGAAGTGGCCTTCAGGGTGTGCTCCAATTGGTAAGCACCCCTGGAACCAACCCACCGGGGCCTGTATTCTGGGCTCAATGTGTGCAGGCCATGGACTGGACTTGGAGAAGTTTCACTGGATGTCAGTTGTTTTTTCCACTGCTTCAGTGAGAAGTGTCAAGGATCTAGGAGAAAGTCTACCTGCTCTGGCAGATGAAGAGGAATAAAGAACCTTGAGGCATCCCAGGAGTTACAGGGTGACAAGTCCTCTCAGTTACTGAGTCAGGGACTGTCTAACCCTGAAGGAGCAGAGACTATCCAAAGCTGAAGACCTTTCACAGACCATTCTAGCACCCAAAGGACAGATGAGAAGACAAACCAGATGCACTAGAGGAATCAGTCTGAAACCATGCTGAGAGCTTTAAGGAGCAGCTTCAAGACTTCAGCAACTGTGAGCAGTACCACAATGAGAGACAGGATTCCATTTAAAACTCTGGTGAAGGAGAAGGACCACCTGAAGGCGGATAAGTGGGAGCTATGGCACCAAGCCAAGGAATCCTGGGACCACGCCTTTGTCCTGTGATTCCAGGAGGACCTCAATGACCACAGAAACCTGGGTGAAAGAGCTGGAGTCCAAGGTGGCGGCCGTGTGCCTTGGGGAAGGCTTCAGGGAAATAATGGTAGGCAAAAGCAGAGCACCATGTTGACATATGTTGAAGGAGTCCTTAGCTATGCTAACCAGAAATATAACTAAGCATTATTTTCTCACCCTTAACATACAAATCTGTGCTCAAAGCAGGCAAGGAATTAGTGGTAGCCCCCAGACCTTGGGCTGATTACCACCATGCTGCAAAGCTTTCAGAGTCCCAGGAGTTTACAGGGTGAGAAGTACCTACCCTATCTCCCCACACAGACCTGCAAGTGGTATATCTGGAGAGGCTTTATGGAAAACTAAAGTCCTCTGAATCATCAGCTTTTATGGACCAAGGTGCGGTCAGCAAAAAAATGCACTTTGTTCATCAAGCAAAGAAGGTAGATCAAAGCATCTGCCTTCACATATCAAACTCAGTTTTAACATCCAAACCTGTAGGACCAATACCTTATACTCCTTGTGGTTAAGACTTGTTACCCACCAACACCCACTCTATGTGTACACAGCCCAGCTGGAAGACTGGGTGAGAAGTGAGAAGAATAACTTTCTCACTTACTTGCTTTACCCTTTTGGCACTGGACCACTCATCATCCCCTGGTAAAACTCTCTGTCACTGTCACTGTCCCCCATTGTTCATTCATTTTTTCGAGCGGGCCCAGTAACGTCTCCATTGTGAGGCTTTGTTGTTACTGTGTTTGGCATATCGAATACGTCATGGGGAGTTTGCCAGGCTTTGCCGCCGTGCGGGCGAGATACTCTCGGTAGCTTGCCGGGCTCTCCGAGAGGGGTGGAGGAATCGAACTCGGGTTGGCCATGTTGGCTGCGTGCAAGGCAAACACCCTACCCGCTGTGCTATCGCTCTAGCCTATTTCCCACTGTCATTTCCTATTGGTATCAAGGAACTCTTATTTTCATCTGTTGAGTACCAGGTTGGCATTTGTTATCTGATCTTGTCCCCAGATGTATCTGCCGATTTTTTTCAGTTATTTTGCTGTTTGTATTCCCACTTTTTAAAAGTTTGCATGCACCTATTCCAGCTCCCATCATCAGTTGATAATAAAATTGAATAAACACTTCTTTCTATATTTTTAATATTTACTTTTGAATGTTTTATAAGAAATCCAATATCAACTATGAGTCCAATTCCTCTGGCCCTCTTGGAGAGCCCGGCAAGCTACTGAGAGTATCTGGCCCGCATGGCAAAGCCTTCCAAGCTACCTGTGTGGTATTCGATATGCCAAACACAGTAACAAGTCTCACAATGTTATGGGCCCACTCGAGAAAATTGATGAACAACGGGGGGACAGTGACAGTGATGAATATCTTGAATATGCATAAATTGAAATCCACATATTAATGCCCTCCAGCTTAATAAGTCATTTACGTGCTTATGATCCTCCCCATTATGTATTCACCAGTATCATACTCTCTGATTCTCCACAGGGTACAAATACCCTGGTTCCAGTCATCAATCTTTCAACCCAAAGTGATAGCTCTATTTCATCCATTTTTATTGTTATTTTATTTTCCACGAAGTCCTTCCTTAACTACATCGTGTGTCATTTAAGGTTTTTTTTTTGATCTTGTAGGCCCGCTCGAGCAAATGGATGAACAACGGGAGGACAGTGCTACAGTGCTACAGTGCTTTGCTAATAAGTGTCTCTAAATTTTATATATTCAAAGCCCCTTGGCACAGTTCTTGGTGCTCAGTAAGGATTCACTCAATGGTTGAATGCCACTGAATCCTGCATCTGGATTCTCTGTCCTTCGCCCTAGATATGAGCCTCCTGCTAGCTCTTTCCGCCCCGAGTTAGTCATAAGAATATGGAACAAGTAATAAACCGGGGTGGAGCTGGGGGAGGTTGGAGCACAGGCGTCTGTAAGCGCGCAGGGCGCCTCCGACTACAATTCCCCGAAAGCCTTGCGGCAATCTTCGGGTCCGTTTCCGTTTCCTTTCTCACGCGGCGAATTTCCGGGTCTGGGGGCGGGGCCAAGGGAGCCATCCAATGACCGCCTCCGCGGGCTGAGGCCGGCGCCAATCAGCGGGCCGCTTGCTGGAGCCGCCGTCGTGGGCGGCCCCGCTGCGAACCAGCAGCTGAGCCGGGTGGAGTTCAGCGCCTCTCGCTCGTCTTCGACATTCGCACGGTCCCAGCAGCCTGTCGACCCCGCTCCCATGTCCGCGGTGGGCCCCGCACCCCGCTCCCTCCAGCGCCCATGGCCTCCAGCCTGAACAGGACTGTTTTCGCCCCCTCCTCCTCCACCGACGCCGACGACGAGGGCGTGCGCGGCACCTGCGAAGATGCTTCGATCTGCAAGAGGTGCTGCTGGGAGCGGGGGCGCGGCCGGCTGCGGGGGCGGCGGGGGGCGCCGGGAGCCCGGGCGGAGCCCCCGGCCCGCTGCAGAGGGGCTGGTTGAGCTCACGAGGGTTTCTCCCTTGGATCTTGCGCCGGGGTGGGTTGCAAGCCGGGGCTTGGCGGTGGCGGGGGATGCTGAACGGCCTGGAACTCGGTCGTTGCTGGGCCTTGGCCTTCCCGGGAAACGAAGACGCCCCGGGGGAAAGACGGCGCCGGAGAGTACGAAGGAGTTGCAGCCGGGATGGGTTGTCTGAGGAGGGGCTAGCTGGTCGTTCCTGCGCGGCCCGTGGGAGGGATGCCCCACTGTGCAACCTGGAACTCGGGCCAGCCAAGAGGAGAGATGGACTGGGTCGGAGTAGAAGTCCAAGTCCAGGTTCGAGCCCTGGCTGCCCCTTGATGGGCCCCCAAGTTCTCCGGGACTGAACTCTGAGCACGGTCAGCAGTATGCCCTGAGCACCAGTGGGTGTAGCCCAAAACCAATAGAAAGAGAGAGGGGAAGGGAGGGAAGAGATGATGGACTGCCCAGGACCACAAAATAGTTGTCGCAGAATTTTTCCAGAACTCTTCCCTGTATTCTTAGCCTACACAAGGTTAAGGGTGTAAAGGTTGTGCGGGAGGAAGGAAGGGGGGGGGGGGTGTTCGTTTTGAGCGTAGATACGTGCTATACATCTGAAAGTATAGAAAAGAAAATGAAAATTACGATTCTTAATGTGTACTCCATGCATCGACGCATCCATTCATTTATTCTTCAACACAAATTGTTGATCTTCCTTTGGGCCAGGCCCTCCGTTTGGGTTGGTTGGTGGAGTATTTGGAGCACTTGATAAACAAGACTAATGGGATGTGTGGTCTGCTGAAACTCAGAGCCTAATTGGGAAAAAAAAAAATAGACCAGATGGAAATAATTACCCGCGCTCTAATTACAGTTCTATGTTGACTGCAAGAGAATTACAGCAGGCCATTGGTGGCTGCAGTTTAAGCAGTGTCATTTAAGCCGAAAGCAGAAAAGACTCTTTTTTTTAAAGGTTTCTGTAGGGGAATGTTCAGGAATATACACGTTAGAAAAGCAAGAAGGGTGTGCTGGAGTAGGGGGTCACAAGGACTGCAGACAACCAAAGTTTAGGTCTGACATTTGCACTTTTTGAAGGCTGTTGGAGACAAGCGTGGTGATTCTGAGTGTAAATTTGGAGACAGGCCCTTTCTAACTAATCCTAGCTCTGTCACTTGTTGAGACTTGACGGAATCACTCAACTCTTCTGTGTCTTCTAATTTGTAAAACCATAAGGGTAACACCCACTTCACGAGTGGTCTCAAAGATGAAATTATTTTGATACTAATAAAGGACCGAAAACAGTGTCTGACATGAACTGATGTTAAGCTGGTTAATTAAGTATGAAAGGCATGCAGGCAGTCTTTGGCGACATAGGTTAGTGAGGTTCAGTTAGATTACCAGGCTCAAACTCCGGCAAGCACTGCATGTGGTGTCTTCCGTCACCTCCAGGAGTGAGTACAGAGCCAGGAGTAAGCCACAGCTTGATGTGACCAGCCTCCTCCCTCGCCCACCCACCCACTCCCAAAATTGTGAGATTCCTGTGAGTTAATGTTTTAAGATATTTGGGGGACTGAGTCTTTATGTGTAAATATACTGTGATCTGCATCTTCATTGTGATGTGTTAAGACCATAAATTATATCCAGAAGTCATACTATAGAGATTCCTTGTATAAATTACAGGTAAACTCTTTGCTTCTGTCTCCTTGGCTTCATAATGGGATTTCACAATGGTAATATAACTCCATAACTCTGGGGTTTGAGGATTTAGGGAAATCCTTGATGGGAAGCAATTAGCAGAGGTCTAGCACAAAGTCAGGCCTTTAGTAAATTTATTTTATTTTATTTTTTTTGGCGTCACACCCGGCGATGCACAGGGGTTACTCCCTGGCTCAAGCACTTAGGAAGTACTCCTGGTGGTGCTCGGGGGACCATAATGGGATGCTGAACCAGGGTCGATCTCATGCAAGGCAAACACCCCGCCCACTGTGCTATCGCTCCAGCCCCAGTAAATTGATTTTTTACTCTTTTTTTGAGTGTTCTGAGTATTGTTTGAATTTACTAACTGTATAGCAGAAAGTTTCCTGCAATCCTGAGTTAGTCATAGATCACTAAAGGAACATTTAAAAAGCCCCTTAGCTCCCCAGGACTCCTATCGGACTCTGTTTTAAGTTTGTTGTTCCTTTTTTTTTGATTCAGAATGCTTCCAGGGACAATAATGAAGGCTGTGGGAGGACTGAGTCAGGGATTCCACTTCCAATCATGTTTGACACACAGTGACCAAAAGGCTCATGGTAGATGCAGAAGCGTGGCAGTAACTGTCATGGAAGCATCATCATTATTCACTTGTGCTCTCACCCCTACAGTCCTGTAGTTAGAATTCTTCTGATTTGGTGTGTTGAGTTGATGCCTGATAACTGCATTCGATTGAGCATGTTTTTGTTGAGTAGTTCCTGCGATCGTTAATTCTCCTTACACCCTTTTCTCTCCTTTCTTCCCATTATGTCTCCTAAGTCAGTTCTCCGCTCACACGTTGGCCCGTGAGCCCCACACTTCCCTCAACCCCTTACTGTGCTTTCTGAATCTACCACGCCACCACCAGCCTCCCCAAGTTCCTCACCTCTTCTTATTTGCCTGGACCTTGGTCCTTCTCTAGGCATCTTTGAAAACTTCTTAACTGGTGCCCCTGCAGTCTCACACCAGGAGTTCAGGGGGTGTGCTTCCCATCTGTTTGTCCCCCATCCCGTTTCTTTGAGGTCATGGACCAGCAGGGCACTGTTCTTCCTCCTGCTGCTTTCTCCATGCTGTGCTAGTTCATCTCTCTCTTTGAAGATGTGGCTTGCTCACAGCCTTCCTCACGACCTCAGTTCTTTCCATCATCCTAGTGGGCTTCACCGACATTGGAGGATCCTTCTATATTCTGAAACACCTTAACTGCAGTGATAATACTTCTTATTCCCCTCCGGAAGTCGTCCTTCTAACCCTGACTCACAGGATTGGTACCCAGGTGCTCCACCACTGCACAGGTGAGCTCTGCAGCCACATCTTCATTCCAGATGCTCCACCGGGTACTTCTGCTGTCCCTGTCATGTATTTATCCACACTGATGGGCATAGATTTCCTTGCCCAGCAGCCGTTAATTTTCTCAACAATGCGTTTATTTCCCTGATTCCACATTTGGTAAATCCCTAGCCCTAGTTGAGCCAAATATCCAATTTATCCCGACTGGTGGCAGAAATCACAAGACAGGAAAACTTGGTGCTACTGTGCATTCCTTCAACCTGTGCCCTTAACACGGCCTGCCATTCCCGCGTGATTCGCTTATCAGCCCACTTTTCCTTATGAGGAGTGGAGTTGTTGGGTCTTAACCTAAGTCTACTCGAACTTTTCTGCTACATTGCCATCCTGTTTCCCACAGAGATTGAACCAGACCACATCCCACCAGCTGTGACTTCCTTTTTCTCCACATTCATTTGCTACTTTCATTCTTCACAGAAACTTTTTCTTAGGACTAAAGCATGCCATTGGGGGATATGTTAGATACTAAGCTTGCCCATGAGGAAAGGTAAAGGTAAAGGCCCTCCCGTTGATCGTCGATTTGCTCGAGCGGGCCCAGTAACGTCTCCATTGGAGACTTTGTTGTTACTGTGTCTGGCATATCGAATACTCTCGGTAGCTTGCCGGGCTCTCCGAAAATCAAATCATAAATCATGGACGGTTGCCTTTAATACACAAATACACGTGTATTTGTGTATTAAAGGCAACCATCCATGATAAATTAAATTCTGAGAGATAGCTGCAGAAGATAATGATCTTTCATGCAGTTTTTGTCCTTTTTTTTTTTGATGACAGTGACTTTACCTTTCTCCAATAGCCTAATCTAAATATGTTGTAACTTTCAGCAGATCTACCTCATTTGTTTTTAATAGCTATACAGAATTGCGTGGTGTGGTTTTACTTGACAGTGTTTGGCGTTTCTTCCATTGTTCTGGTTTTCAGACAGTTTTGATTTTGCTGTTAAAGTAATACTGTGATAAGCATTTTGCATATTGAGTTTTTGTTTGGGGCCTGTGTTCAGGGCTTGTTACTGCCTCTATACTCAGGGATCACTCACGGCTGGGCTCAGGGAACCTTGTGTGGTGTTAGTGATAGAACCCTGGCTAGACATTTGTTAGACCATACCCTCTGTACTATCTCTCCACCCCAGAAAATATCTTTTTAACTTGTATTTATTTTAGCTAGTGGACGGAGCATCTCTGTTTCTTCACTCCCTTTCTCTTTGTGAAATAACCTGCCTTATATAGCTTCTAAGGTTTAGGTGTGTATTACCGTGTGTAAATACTACATCACATTTACAAGTGAAAGGTCAGCGCTGGACCAGAGAGATGGTACGGTTGATGGGGCACTCGCCTTGCATGCGGCCATTCTGGGTGTGACTCCAAAACCAAAACAGAATAAACTTTAAAAGTCCAGTGCTCTCTCCTGGTGGAGGGACGGGTACACGATCATTGTGTAACTGAAACCCAAGCATGAAAGTTTGTTAAGTCTGCAGCTGTACCTCATGGTATTTCGCTAATTAAAAGAATAGATAAATAAAAAATAAAAGTCCAGTGCTCTCTCCAGTGCTCATTGTCCCTGCTTACCGAATTACCTGCCTTCTTATCCCTTCCCTTCCGGTAATCACTATATTGATATTATGAATGGAAGTTTAATTTTGTTTCATTTTGTTTGCCCATTTATTCTACATAACATCTGTGCAGTCATGTTTCTTATCTTCCTCAGATTTAATTTCACTTAGCTTAATACAATACTCTAGGTCCATTCATGTTGCAGACAGAAATTTAATTTTTTCATGTGAACCTTCTTCCCATAAACCATTTTTGTATAATGTCTTTTTCTTCTTTAGTTATTTGTA